GCACTCTCTACGACGTGCCCCGTGAGCGGGTTCTTCCTCCCGAGGTGGCTGACAGCAGCGTGGCCGACGATGGTGTGTACGTGGTGCCCCCCTCCGCTGAGCGAGAGGCCCCAGCTGATGCCAAGCGCCTGTCTGCCTCCAGCACAGGCAGCACTCGCAGCAGCCAGTCGGCCTCCTCCCTGGAGGCGCCGGTGCCGGGCCGCGAGCCCCTGGAGCTGGAGGTGGCTGTGGAGGCCCTGACCCGGCTACAGCAGGGTGTGAGCGCCACCGTCACCCACCTCTTGGACGTGGCAAGCAGTGCTGGCCGGTGTGGGGGCTGGCGCAGCACCACGGAGCCTCAGGAGCCCCCAGCACAGGACCTGCGGGCTGCTGTGGCTGCTGTCCAGGGGGCCGTCCATGAGCTGCTGGAGTTTGCCCGCAGCGCCGTGGGCAACTCTGCCCACACTTCTGACCGTACACTGAATGCCAAGCTTAGCCGGCAACTGCAGAAGATGGAGGACGTGTACCAGACATTGGTGGCCCATGGCCAGACCTTTGACAGTAGCCGAGGAGGCCCTGGGGCCACTTCTGAAGACCTGGACCGCCTGGTGGCCTGCTCACGGGCTGTGCCCGAGGATGCCAAGCAGCTGGCTTCTTTCTTGCATGGCAATGCCTCACTGCTCTTCAGACGGACCAAGGCCCCTGTCTCAGGGTCCGAGGGGGGTGGCTGCCTGCATCCCATCCCCACCGACAAGGCCAGCAGCATCCAGTCCCGGCCCCTGCCCTCACCCCCCAAGTTCACCTCCCAGGACTCACCGGATGGGCAGTATGAGAACAGTGAGGGGGGCTGGATGGAGGATTACGACTATGTCCACCTGCAGGTGGGTGCCCGCCCTGCCCAGTTCCCGGTCCTCTTTGAGCTCTGATTTTTCCACCCCTGTCGTGGGACCCTTATCACCCTCACTGAGGGCTTTTGTGGCCAAAGGAGGATTTGGCCCCATGAGGGCCTCGGTGGGTCCCTTGTCCTCCTCTCACTTTGAGCTTCTAGGCCAGAGGGCACCCCAGAAGCCCATTCCTCTCCCCACCTCAGGCCTTTGGGCCAATGCATCCTTGTCATCAGGGTCCTGCAGGTGACCAGGGCAGAGGTGGCTGTTCTGTTTGGGGAGGTGGGTCCTGAAATATAAGCAAAGACAAAGATACTTCCAGGCAAGGGGGAACAAGCAAGGTGATGGGAAGGTGGTCCTCTGAGCAGAGACCGGGGTGCCAGCCAGGTGGTCTCAGCATTCCAGGCTGAGATCTGGCACGGGGTCAGCACAGGTCAGGGGCAGGTGGGCGCAGGCTTTGTATGCCTAGAGCAGTGGTCGGCAAACTGCGGCTCGCGAGCCACATGCGGCTCTTTGGCCCCTTGAGTGTGGCTCTTCCACAAAATACCATGTGCGGGCACGCATGTACAGTGCGATTGAAACTTCGTGGCCACACTCAAGGGGCCAAAGAGCCGCATGTGGCTCGCGAGCCGCAGTTTGCCGACCACTGGCCTAGGGGATGGGCATGAATGTGACTTCTGGCCCCAGAACGAGAGCAGGGAGGCTGGCCTTGGCCACATGGAGTATGCCCACCCCTCCCTGTGCTGGCCAGAGATGGAGGAGGCCCAGGAGGGCTGCTTCCTCTGGAAGCTGACCCACCTTGGGCCCCGTGGTCTCCGGGTGAGCCTGGTGCAGTGTGCAGCGCCACCTGGTGGCCACTCTTCTCACCGCGCTCCCTCCTGGTCTGGGGGCTCCTGGCTCAGCCCAGTCCTTGTGTCTCCCCTCCAGGGGAAGGAAGAGTTTGAGAAGACTCAGAAGGAGCTGCTGGAAAAGGGCAACATCATGCGGCAGGGGAAGGGCCAGCTGGAGCTGCAGCAGGTGAGGACGCGGGACGCCCGCTGCTTCAGCAAAAGCTGCTTGTCTGTCAGAGCCGGCCTGCGGAGCTGAGCCTGGGCCCCCCCTCCCAGCCCCACTCCCCTGCTTCCTGTCCCCATGCGTTCGCTGGGCTGACACTAGCAGAGTAAGCATGGTGGACGTTTTTAGTGAACACAGAGAGAAAAGTATAAGAGAGCAGGAAAAGAAGCCGGTTACCCGGAGGAGTGTTTAACATGGTACATTGTGAGCGGTTACATCTGCCTTTATCTCACCCGTTTTTCCATGGCATTACACATTCCTCATAAATTATTTTATAAGGTCATATAGCATTATTGTCGAACATTCAAATTGTACCCAGTTTTCTTTATAAATCATTTATCTGCAAATATAGAATCTCCTTCATATTTTGGATCACTTGAAAAAGACAGTTTACAAAAACTAAGGGAGTTTTATTCTGATTATGAAGATAATAAAAATTAAGACATAGACTAGCACAAAATAAACGCAGAAATGTCACCCATAAGGTTCTCTGCTTGGTGCATTAATTAAGTCTTTTTATGTTGTATATGTTAAGAACATGATTCTTTTTTTTTTACTTTTCATTTTGAAATATTTATAAATTCACAGGGAGTTGCAAAGAGTTTCCCCACGATTATGTTCTGACTGATTAGAGAGCAGCACCCAGACAAGAGTGATGTCCCTCGTCCTCACAGCCACTCAGTTCTCCATGTCTCTCGTGCCATTTTTAAAATGTGATAGAAATGGAATCATAAAGGAGATTTTGACAAAAGTTATTTGGAGAATCTCTAGAACAGTGGTTCTCAACCTTGGCTGCACATTGGAATCACCTGGGAATCTTTTTAAAATCCTGATTTCTGGGCCTCATCCTCCGGAAATTCTGTTTCTTTGTTATGGGGTGAGGCCACAACATTAGTAACAAAGAAACAACTTCCAGAGGATGAGACCCAGAAATCAGGATTTTAAAAAGATTCCCAGGTGATCCAATGTGCAGCCAAGGTTGAGAACCACTGCTCTAGAACATGCTCTGCCAATAGGACAGGAGCCTGTCCCCGCTGCTGCGGACTCCGAGTGCCGCCCCTTTGAGCCCTCATGCTCTGTGGCTGCGGTCTCACTCTGCCTTCCCTCTCCCCAGCTGAAGCAGTTTGAGCGGCTGGAGCAAGAGGTGTCCCGGCCCATCGACCACGACCTGACCAACTGGACGTCGGCCCAGTCCCTGGCCCCAGGGCGGACAGGCAGCCTGGGGCCCTCGGACCGGCAGCTGCTGCTCTTCTACCTGGAGCAGTGCGAGGCGAACCTGACCACGCTCACCAACGCGGTGGACGCCTTCTTCACCGCCGTGGCCACCAACCAGCCACCCAAGATCTTTGTGGCACACAGCAAGTTTGTCATCCTCAGTGCCCATAAGCTGGTGTTCATCGGGGACACGCTGTCGCGGCAGGCCAAGGCAGCTGACGTCCGCAGCCAGGTGACTCACTACAGCAACCTGCTCTGCGACCTCCTGCGTGGCATCGTGGCCACCACCAAGGCTGCCGCCCTGCAGTACCCATCGCCCACCGCCGCCCAGGACATGGTGGACAGGGTCAAGGAGCTGGGCCATAGCACTCAGCAGTTCCGCCGGGTCCTGGGCCAGCTGGCAGCTGCCTGAAGACAGTGACCTGAGGGATGAAGGGTGGGGGACGAGGGCAGTGATGGTCCGAGCTGCCCCGAGCACTTCCCCGAGAGTCTCAGTGCTGCAGGCCTGGGGACAGGCATCCTCAGCTTCCCCAGGCCTGGTGCCCAGCCTGTCAGGGATTTGTACATATTTATGACAGGGCAGGGTGTGGGCTCAGGGCCCAAGCAGAGCTAGGCCCCCAGAGCCCGGGCCAGGGAGCAGGCTGGGGTCTTCCCTGAGGGCGCTGCAGGCCTGGGGAGGTCCCAGCTCGGCAGCCAGGCCACAAGCGTGCAGGCCCCTTGGCCCACACGGCCTTGGTGACCCCTGGGGGCTGACCTCAGCCCCATGAGGGTGCTGTGTACCCCCAGGGGTCAGTGCCACTGAGATGTGCTCCTCAGCACCAAGAGAAACCCCTAAAAAACTATTTTTCATTATTGATTTTCCAATCATTTGACTAACAGTCTACATTTAAATAAAATTTTAAAAATGAAAAGCAGCCTCCTGAAGTGTGAGAGGCAGGAGGACCCTTAGAGGGAAGGTGGGGTGTGCTCACGGTGATGCCCAGGGTAGGACTGGGTTGAGGAGACCTGTGGTGAGGCTGTGGACGTCCTTTGGGGAGGGGGAGGGTCCCAGCAGAAGAAGCCAAGGTCACAGGAAACGGCTGGGCCACGGAGACAGGGCCAGTGTCCCCTGCAAGGCGGGGCCAGGTTTGCTAATGGAGGCCAGGCCTTGGGAGCTGGGGGTGCGTCCAGCCCGCCACAAAGTCTGGCCTGGGAGGCAGATGTCCGGGTCTGGTTTGGAGGTTCTGAGAGTCAGGCCTGCTCTGCCTAGGCCACGGCTCTCCTGGCTGGTTTTTTTGTTTGTTATTTAATTATGTTTTTATTAATTTCAGAGAGAAAGGGAGAGGGAGAGATAGAAAATCAATGATGAGAGAGAATCATTGATTGGCTGCCTCCTGCACACCCCCTACTGGGGATAGAGTCTGCAACCTGGTTCATAGGTCAATGTTCAACCACTGAGCACACCGGCTGGGCACTGACTGGTTCTTTAATAGGACAGAAGCTGCCGGGAAAGGGCAATAGTTCCCTCATCAACCACTGGGTGTGGTGGGTCCCCACCAGTGGCTCCAGTAGGCCTGGGAGAGGCAGCCAGGGGGCAGCTCCCGGGAGGGTTCCTGGAGCCACAGGTGTGGGACCAACAGTAGGCCGTCCTCTGAATGCCACTTCCCGGCACCAGGCCAAGCCAAGAACTGAGCAGGGGGCGGATGGTGAGCACCCCGCAGCCCAGGTGGGAGCTGGGGGCCAAGGTCCCATTCATCTGCCTGGCCACTCTGGGGAGGTGACGAAGGAGGGACCCTCCCAGGACCCCCTGCATTAGGTGGAGTGAAGGCCCAAGTTCAGGAGCAGAGTGAGGCCTTACAGGCCCTGACACAAGAGACGGATGCCATCAACATGTTTTTACGGGTTTATTGAGCTTTGTGGGAGCAGGGTTGGCAGGGCCAGGGCCTCAGTTGTCGGCCAGGATCTGCCGCACCCAGGGCATGAGTTCTGTAACCCGGGCGTACACGCCAGGGCTGGAGGTGGAGCAGGTGCCGCTGCCCCAGGACACGATGCCCACCAAGGTCCAGGCTCCATCCTTCTGGCAGACCAGGGGGCCACCAGAGTCGCCCTGCAGGAGGAGGAGAGGGCTTGGGTCTGGCAGCCCGGGTCGCCTGGCCCAGAGGCCCCTGGATGGTTCCCAGAGCCCAGTCCAGGGCCTGGCAGCCCTAGACCCAGCACCCGTCTCCTGGAAGGATTATGGGAACCTGAGCAGCTCTTTTAGCTCATGCCCTGGAAGTCGGGGCCACCCCAGGGTGAGGTTCTGTGATGGAGGCTCACAACGCTGGTTTGATAGGAGGAAAGCAAGGGCTGTGGGGCCACGGTGAGGAGCAAGGGCTGCCTCTGGAGCCCTGGGCACCCGTTCCTTGCCCCGGCGGCGCCCTGCACAGCTCCAGGAGGTGCTGTTTGCTCAGAACTCGACATCCATGGATCTTGCACTGTGGTGGCCTGCCAAAAGGTCCTTCCCAGCCTCGGCTAGGAGCACCCAGGAAGGAGCCTGCCTGCTCCCCACTTCCCTCTGCCCACGCCCCTGGCCTGGGCTCTTGCCTGAACCCACCCCAGCCACAACCAGGTGGGAGGTTCTGAAGAGAAAAGAGGGGGTTCCTGCTACAAGGCGGGGAGGGAGGGGTGCAGAGCGAGCCTAGGCAGCCATACCATGCAGGAGGAGACGCCGCTGGCGCCGGCGCAGACCATGAGGTCGGTGATCTTGTTGCCCCAGAACTTCTTGCAGCTGGCGTTGGACAGGAGGGGCAGGGCCGCCTGCTGCAGCTTGTCGGGGGTGTTGGCATCTGGAAGGGCCGGTGGTGGTCAGCACCAGCAGCCCCCCTGCCCGCAGCCTCCACCTGCCGCCCGCCCACCGGGTCACTCACTGTTGTACTTGGTCTTGCCCCAGCCGGTGGTGGCACACAGGGTGCCGGCGGGGAAGTCGTCGGCCTCATCGGGCAGGCACACGGCGGACACGGTCTGGGAGAAGCGGGCGGGCGTGGCCAGCTTCAGCAGGGTGATGTCGTTGTTGACGGTGAACATGTTGAACTTGGGGTTCTTGAACACCTGAGATGGGGCGGACAGCCACAGTTGGGGTCTGAGCAGAAACCAACCCAGGGCTGGGTCGCCCTCATCACCTCCGTCCCCTCTGACCACGGGCCACTTCAGCTCGGCAGCTGCTTTCATGGGCCCAGGACGGAGGTGCCGACCCCCCTGCATGGAACCTCACCCCCTGCTTTCTGCTTTTGCCCATCTGGATGGAATATTGGGTGACCGGGAGGAACTTGGCTTCCTTTGCTTCCCCGCAGCCCAGGGCTTTCTCAGGATGTTGGCCCAGCCCCGTTAGCCTGCCCTGCCTGGGCCACCTTACCTTGGCAATCTTCAGCACCTGGGTGTCCTCAGCATCTGAGCCCTGGTCAAACTCCCCGGCCACAACCAGGTGGGAGGTTCTGAAGAGAAAGGAGGGGGTTCCTGCTATGAGGTGGTGAGTGTGAGTGCATGTGCGTGTGCGTGTGTGTGTGTGTGTGTGTGTGTGTGTGTGTGTGTGGTGATCAGAGACAGGAGCTCCGAATGCCAACAGCTGCCCTGGGACAGCTGTGCTACAGCCTGTGAGTGTTTCCTTCCCAGTGACCCCTGGGAGGCCAGCAAGACTTGAGTTTTCTACACATTTCCAATTAGGAAACTGAGGAATGAAGCTCAGAAGGCCCTCCTCCCACCCAATGGGTTTCCTGGGGACCCCGGGCCTCACCTGACCCCGCAGTGGGCGGCAGTCACCACCCAGTCCTCGCTGATGAGGGAGCCGCCGCAGAAGTGGAAGCCGGTTTTGTCCTGGAGGAGGACGGAGGTCAGCGCCGGCCGGACAGCGGCAGCCCCGCGGGCCCCCCACCCCAGCGTGTTCCTCACTCACCTGCAGGGACACCTGCCAGGGCCAGGAGCCGGGGACAGCGTCCTCCCCATTGACAATCCTGGACAGGCCGCTCAGCACGGGGTGGATGGCGGGGACCCCACAGCCTGAGGTGGGCGTATGAGGTGAGGGGCAGAGGCCAAGGTCACCTCTGGGCCCCCCACCCAGGTCCCACTGCCCCAGGAATTCCCAGGGAGAGCTCAGGGTGCCCTGTGCTTCAGCCCAGACAAGCCCGGCAGGTTGAGTGTGTGGTGGTGCAGGGCTAATGCCTGGGCAGCCCCATCATTGCCTTGCTTAGCCGCTGAGTCTGTGTTCCCATCAACAAAATGGGACCATATCGTTGCTAACCTCGCAGAGCTGGTTTACGGATATGAGATGAGTCAACAGGTAAAGCACGAAGTTGTTCTGGGAACATAGTAAGCCCTCCGCAGACAAGAATTTAAAAGGGCCCGAAAGGGCTGGTAGGGGCTGTCTTCCTGCTCACTCTCTGAATCGGTTTGGGAATCACCAACTCTCCAGAGAGCTTTCCGTCCCTCTGGATTTGTCCTCCCTGTTCCCCTGCACAGGTGTGAGGCCTCGGGGCAGCCCTAGGAGCAGCCACCTCCCCAGGGCCTCACACTGGCTGGTCTGATCCAGTCTTCCCACCGTCTCCGTTCTAGAGGTGGGGCTGCTGAGGCTCGGGCTGAGACGCGCTCAGGCCACACCACCTTGCGTGATTGAACTGGGAGTGGGCCCAGGGTTGGGGGACAGCCTTCCCGGCCGCTGCCGGCCCCAGCGCTCACCAAAGGCTGTGCCCAGGAGGGCGAAGCAAGAGAGGAGCCAGAGGAAGGCCATGGTGTCACTGTCAGGGAGGTGCAGGGCACGGGCCTGGGAGGCTCCCCCTTTTATCCCTGTGACCGGGCTGTTATCTGGGGACCTTGAGGTGACCCTCTTTTTCCTGGGCAGGTGCCAAGTGGGCAGGATGTGTCCGAGCAGGCCCGCCTGGGACAGCAGCAGCTGCAGCCACGGCTGTGCGTGGGGCCAGGGTCAAGGCAAAGGGGCACTGGTTTAGGTGGACCTTGACTCACAGCCAAGAGGAAATGAGATGTCATGGTTGTTCTTCGTTCCCCTGCACTCGGCTTCCTCCCCAAGCCCTGCCTTGGGAGTGGCCCTGTGGCAGCAGCCAGACCTGGGCAAGCCACAGCCTAGTCTCTCACGGGCTGGAGGGCCTCAGACAAGTAATTTAGTTGGTCTGTAAGTTCTTCAAAAACCCCTGGGCAGTGTGGTTAAGTAGGGAGGTGGAGGTGAGGGCACAGGTGGCCAGGGGCTGAGTGCTCCCCGAGTTTCAGGGATGGATGTCCAAGAAGGCTCAGTGAGGCTTCGACGTCTGTGTGGCCCCTCAGGCTGCTTGAGGTGTGGCCTGGAAAGGCAAGCCGCCCCCTGCCGGTCACACAGACCTGGGTCCGGGACCACCTTGGGGCCCCTGCTATCGCCCCCCCGAAAGCTGATGCAGGCTGGACTAGGCGGGATCATGGGAACAGGGAGGCCTGGTTCTGGCTTGGACAACAGGGTAGGAGTGGGGCCCTTTCCTAGCAATTGGCAAACTGGGGAGAAATTGAGGGTGATGCTGCTCCCCAAAACGCACAGGGAAAACAATACGTCATGGCTGGTTCCATTTTCTGTCGCATTGATGATCGTAGCGTGGTGTTCACATACAGGTATCGGCACCAGGCCCTCTCTGACCCTATTTCCATACACGCAAGGTGGGGTGCTTATAGTATGTGCCCAGGCAGCGACCCGGCGGAGGGAACAGCGAGGGCAAAGCCTGGGGAGCGCTCCTAGGCTCACCAAGAGCCAGGGCAGGAGGCTGGGCTGGGCTGACCAAGGAGTGCACCTAGGAGAGCCCCGGTGGAGGCACTGCTGAGCAGGGGCCCAGATCATCCAAGTGTGTCCACCCCCCTCTCACTCCTATGGCAGGGGTCTGAGTGGGGGAAGGGCAGGGCAAATGGGGGAGGGGCCTCGGTAGCCTGAGGCAACCTGTGGCCCTGGCAGTGGCTTTGGGAGCAGACAGCTGGCCGGGGCCCTGCACCCTCGTGCACGCGTGCGGAGGCCTGGGAGCCAGCTCAGGTGCAGGTGTCCCTCTTCAGCTGGGGGGCGGGGCCCTCGGCCCTCCCAGTGCTAGGAACATAGGTGTACAATCTTTTAGAGACCCTGCTTTTAATTCGTGGGGGTTTTCATGCAGAAGTGGAATTGCAGAATCCTATGATAGATCTGCTTAATATTTTGAGGGCCCTCCATATGCTTCCACAGTGGCTGCACCATTTTCCATTCCCGCCAACAGTGCACAGGATTCAGATTTCTCCACACCTTTGCCAATTCTTTTTCTTCTTTTTTTTTTTTTTTTTTGTTTTCATTTACCTTCGCCATCCTAATGGGTGTGAAACCTTGCTGTGGTGTCGATGTGCATTTCAAAATGACTGGTGGCTTTGATCATCTTTCCTTGTGCTCATTGGCCGTTTGTATGACTCCCCAATATTTATGGTCGCCACTGATGCTGCAGGAACTTGGTGCCACAGCCTCTGCCTCCAGTACCTGTTCCCACCTGTACTTTAGCCTCTGCCGCCTCCAGTGTCATTTTGAGAACTTGTGATGCCACTCTGCCGTGACCAGGGTCTCAGCCTTCCTGACTCCTCCCGGGTGAGCAACCCAATCCCAGAATCCCATGGGGCCACAATGGCTGCAGCAGACACCGTCCTGCCTAAAACCTGTCGGCAGTCACACGGCTCCTCGAGGAGTTTCAATAGAGGGAATGTTTACAAAGATGTGGGCAGGATTTAGGGGAACCGACAAAGGATAGTAAAGTGCACAGGCTTCTAACCACAATGGGGACACACCTAGAGCTAAAGGGACAAGGGGCGAGCGGTGATGGAACCCCGAAAGGGCAGCTGTGCAGACAGGGCCGCCTGAAGGAGCTGCGCCCCCATAGAGGGAAGCCGCCTGGGAACCGAGAATAAGACCTGACTTCTCTCTCCTACCCTCACGGGCCCTGCCCCTGCTGGGGCCTCCCCGACCCCCGCCCCACCCCACCCCCACTGACCCCAGCAGGAAGGCAGAGAGCCGGGGGAGCCGGGAGCCGTGCTGCGGTCTCCTCCTGAGGGTCAGGCTGCTGGAGGCCAGCAAGGTGAAGGGGGAGAGCGGACCAGAAAGGGAAATGAAAGACATCCAGCACCTTTCTTATGATTATTTTGCATCATTAAGTTTGCTTTTTGCAATCAAATACATGGCTGACAGTGGCTAATAAGAGGGACCTGCTTTTCTCAGATGAGTGCACACAAGCAGAGATCTGGAGGCCGCAATTTCCAGCCTCCACTCAGCAGCTCGGCGATGGGGCCGCTCCGGGCCAGGGTCCCCATTCGCTCCGGGCCAGGGTCCCGGCGGTGGGGTCGCTCCGGGCCAGGGTCCCCATTCACTCCGGGCCAGGGTCCCGGCGGTGGGGCCGCTCCGGGCCAGGGTCCCGGCGATGGGGCCGCTCCGGGCCAGGGTCCCGGCGATGGGGCCGCTCCGGGCCAGGGTCCCGGCGGTGGGGCCGCTCCGGGCCAGGGTCCCGGCGGTGGGGCCGCTCCGGGCCAGGGTCCCGGCGGTGGGGCCGCTCCGGGCCAGGGTCCCGGCGGTGGGGCCGCTCCGGGCCAGGGTCCCGGCGGTGGGGTCGCTCCGGGCCAAGGTCTCTGTCTTTCTTCTCCGGGTCTCAAGAGGGCGGCCGAAGTGCCAAGCCCCACACCCCCACAGACTGCCAAAGTGGGCCGGGGCTGGGTTCTCCTCACCCACCCACCCCCGTTTCCACTGGCTTCTAGCAATCAGAGTTCTACCCCCTGAGAGCTGGAAGGGGTGACCCTCCACGGGACCCTCGTGTGGAGAGAAAGGAGGGGATGGCTGTAGCACTGACAATGGCTGTCACTCTAACAAAATGACCGCCCTGCTCCCAGGCTGTGCTCACCTCACGGTTTGGTTGGAATGGGCAGGGTCTGGGGGCCAAAGGAATTGCTCAAAGTGAAAAACACATCACCAGACACGCACACCTCTCTCTGCGGGGCGGGCGGGGCCTTCTGAGGCCACATCCTCCCATTCTCCTCCGCTGAGGGTTTATGGGCAACAGACCTGAGAGCTGGTGACAGGCTGCGTCTGCTTTCTGCTCTGGAAAAGTCCCTGAGTCTAGAAAAATACAAATGGCTTGGCTACCTGCTTGGAATGAGTGAAGGGGGAAAAGCTCCAGCAAATGTTACTATTTCAATAAATTACCCTGGCCTGGAATTTAAATATGGATTCCTGATGCTCAACCCCAGGCCAACACTCAGCCAGGACACCCCTGGGTGGCCACACACAGCCAGTGAAAACACCAAAGAGCTTCAGAGCCCGTTAGGCAACAGCGGCTGCCCCACTCCCTATGTCCCCAAAGTTTGGCCGCGTCAGCCCCTAGCACAGAGTGGGCTCAGGCCTCAGGAGCCCATCTGAGCTGAGCTGTGGCCACTGTTTTCATGGTCAGAGATCTGCTCAACTGGTGGTTAAACAAACATTTTTAATATCCCCCTGCAGTGAGCACACAACCCTGAAAAAACCCAAATTTACAAATCAAAGTCGAAACTTCAAAGCCACTCAAGTTCAAATTTGGACTGGTGACACTTCCTCCTCCCCTGATGGCCTTCTCCCTCGGAGACCAGGGACCATGACCCCAGGCCCCAGAGGTGCTGGGAGAGTCCACCCGCCAAGTTTGTCTTTTCAAAGCTTCTCATCAGCGAGGCCCACACAGGACTGTCACCAGCAGCAGCGTCCCGTCCCTCTTCCCAGTTACCGGACATCAGGACATTATTTCTTTTCCTTTCAATTTTATTTTGCACTAGAGGCCTGGTGCACAAAATTCGTGCACTCGGGGTGGGGGCCCTCAGCCCGGCCTGTGCCCACTCCCCGTGGGCCTAAGCTGTCAGTAGGACATCCTTAGCGCTGCTGCAGAGGTGGGAGAGGCTCCGCCACCCCCGCTGCACTCACCAGCTGTGAGTCCAGCTTCTGGCTGAGTGGCACTCCCCCTGTGGGAGCACATTGACCACCAGGGGCCAGCTCCTGCATTGAGCATCTGCCCCCTGGTGGTCAGTCAGTGTCATAGCAACCACTCGTTCTGCCATTTGGTTGATTTGCACATTAGCCTTTTATTATATGGGATGGTTTCAGGTATACATACAGCTTAGTGGTTAGACCGTCATCTACTTTACATGGTGTTCCCCACTATATTTCCAGTACTCACCTGGCACCATACATAGTTATAATATTATTGACTGTATTTCCTATGCTGTACTTTACATCCCCGTGGCTATTCTGTAACAACCAATCTCTACTTTTTAAATTGTCAACAGTGTTACAGATGTCTCCCCTTTTCTCCCTTTTTGCCCCCCTCCACCCAGCCCCAGGTCTTCCCTATGCTCATGTCTGTGTCCATGGGTTATGCATATATATCGTTAATCTCTTCCAGTCCCCTCCTCCCCAGCCACCCCCTAATCTGTACTTCTTCATCCCTTCACCTCTTTCACCCAGTCCCCTAACCTCCTTCCTGTCTGGCACCATCAGTCTGTTCTCTGTATCTATGAGTCTGTTTCTATGTTGGTTGGTTGTATTGTTTTTAGATTCCACATGTAAATGAGAGCATATGGTTTCAGTCTTTCTCTGACTTATTTCACTTAGCGTAATTCCCCCGAGGTCCATCCATGCTGTCACAAATGGTGAGATTTTATTCTTTTTTATGGCCAAGGAATATTCCATTGTATATGTGTACCACAGCTTTTATCCACCATCTGTTGACAGGCACTTGGGTTGCTTTCATGTCTTGGCTATTGTAAATAACGCCACAAAAAGCATTATATTCTTATTTTAGTACCTGTCTCTCCCGGGGGCCTGGGACCCCCGAGGGCAAGGGTGGCGCGTGCTCTGTTCCTGTGGGTTTCTGGCCCAGGGAGAGGAGGAGCCTACAGAAGCCATTCCGCCTCCACTTACGGCCGATGCGCACACACGCCTGTCCTTCTCTCGTTCTGTGACGATTACATCACTTATCTTCGGTTTCCTCAGCACATCCTTTAAAGGTGTGGAATCAAAGCCTCATTTTATGAGACAAAAGCTTTATGTGAGGAATAGTTCCTTATATCGTGAATTATCACAGAAGAGAATTCGTGGAACCCAGGGTAGACATGGATGGCCAGCAACTGTGACCTGCTGGCGGCCACCGTGGGGTGACTCCTTAGGCCCTGCACACCCTCACACCCGCCCTGAAGCTGCTTGACTGGGCTGGTTTCGAGGGGGGCCCTGGGTAACCCAGAATATCTGTCTAAGACTTGATCTCTGAGGAGGGATGCACTGAGCACTCTGCTGAGGACCCTCAGCCTGCGTTTACGGGATTGGAGGCCTCCCGGCGACGACCAGCTGGGCCTCTTTGCGTGAATTCTTTGATCCCTGGTGGGATGCTGGCCTTGCCCGCAGCGCCGTGGGGGTGCCTGATGTTGCCAAGTCTAATGGGTGACGTTGGGCAGGGCAGCTGCCCCTTTCCCAGGGGCTGGTGTGTCCCAGGCTGACAGCCAGCCTGGCTGCCAGAGGGGCTTGGCCCCCACTTATCGCCAAGGTCCCCGGAGAACAGGGCGGGTGGCTCTCCGGCTTCTCTGACTGGGCAGGGCCAGGGGGGTGAGGAGCCCCAGGGGACATAAAAGGGAGCCCTCGCCCAGGCACTGCACATTCCCACACGGAGCAACATGGCCTTCCTCTGGTTCCTCTCCTGCTTCGCCCTCGTGGAAGCCGCCTTCGGTGAGTGTGTGTATGGGGGCAGCCAGGCCTGGGAGGAGGGGGGGAGAGGTCCCTAAGTCCCCAGTGACCCCAGGGACAGAGGGTCTCTGTCCGGAGCAAACCCTGGGGCCTGGCCAACAGGGAGCTGTGAGTCCCCTTCCCTGCACCTGCAGGCCTGGACAGGGAGAGGCAGGCGGAGGCTGTAGGGAGCAGAGGGCTTCTGGGGCTTTGAGTCTCACGGCCTCATGCCCTGCACCCTCAAGCCCTGCACCCGGCGGGAGGAAAAGTCCAGCCGGGACTGCACGGAGGGCTGAGGCCCCAGAAGCGGCCCAGGCTGGTGCTGTGGGCAGAGTAAGGTGTGGTCACAGACACCCCCCAAGGCGGAGGCCCGGGTTCTTTATTCATGTTCAGGCACTTGCTAACGTTTTATTTTCTATTTTAACAAACGAAGAAATCATTAAAAATCCAGAAAATTCTATGACAACCCTGCACCATCAGGGTTTAGCAAAAGTTACCCCATTAGCAGATTTGAGGTATTTCTTATAAAACACCCACTAGATTCAGCGAGAGGCCCCTCTGCCTCCTCCCGCCTCCCCTTGGCCGGTGAAGCCGCACCTGAACTTGCTGTGTCTCCGTTCTGTGCGGGTTTTTACAAATTACTACGTATTTATAAATCCACGAAGTGTAACCTTCGTGAAAACTTACATAAACGGCAGGACCCTCTGCGCTAGTTTTACCACATGCCTTTTCCCACCCACGAAATGTTGTACATTTGTCCCCATGGAGTGGGGCTCACTCATTCTAACCCGTGAAATGCTCAGCTGTGTAAGTACATCCCCGGGTGCTGCTAATCCTGTTTGCTGTGACAAGGACTAGATGATTATGACGAGATGTTTGGGCGGTAACGACCCTCAGTGAGGGGCTGGTCCACCTCCCTGTCCCACGGGCTGGAGGGGCAGGTGGCCTGCTGGGCCGTAGGGGTCACAGGCTGCGGCACCGGCACCCAGGGGAGAACGTGCGGGTCCTGCCCCAGGTGTGCCATGGTCACATTGAGCACCTGTCTCTTCTCATTCTCCTGCGACCACTTAAGTCCTTGGGTTTCTGTTTCCTCAATGAGTCCTTTCAAAGTTCTGTTTTATTACCTAGAGGCCCCGTGCAGACATCGGTGCACTCAGGGGGGAGGGTCCCTCAGCCCGGCCTGCACCCTGTCGCAGTCGGGAGCCCTTGGGGATGTCCGCTGACAGCTTAGGCTAAGCCGCAGTCCGACATCCTTGGTGCTGCCCTGGAGGCGGGCCGCTGCGCTCGCCAGCGGTCAGCCCGGCTTATGGCTGAGGGGCGCTCCCCCTGTGAGCGTGCACTGACCACCAGGGGGCAGCTCCTGCCTTGAGCGTCTGCTCCCCAGTGGTCAGTGCACGTCATAGCGACCGGTCCTTCTGCGGTTGGGTCGATTTGCATATTACCCTTTTATTATATAGGACTAAGAAACAAAAATCCTGTACAATGAGTAGTTTCTGAAACTCTGGAATAGAGACTGGAGTGTGGGCCCAGCTGTGGCAAACGGAGCTTTTCACACTCCCTGGCGGGTCAGCGCTCCCCATGCCCCCTGCACTTGGGTTATAATCCCCCCCCCCACACACACACCTCATCGGTGAGCTTTGCCCCTGAGGTTAGTGCTTTGCTCCCCGGTTTACTGAGGACCGTGAGCTTTGACGGCTGAGGTCTCAGCAAGGAGGGGCGGGGCGGGCCAGGCCGGCGGCCCCCTCAGCGCCAGCTCTGCTCCCCGCTCCGCATCCTGCAAGGTGCCCGGTCCCAGGCTGCAGGGGTCCTGAGCCCAGAGGTTGCGGGATGGGAGGGAGCGCAGTGGGGCCTGTGCCGCCGGATGGGTGCGGAAGGAACCAGATTTCTGCAGACGGGCTCCAGGCCCAGCCCTTCCTCACTCCCCTCCTGTCCCCGCACCCAGGCTGCGGGGTCCCCGCCATCCACCCCGTGCTGAGCGGCCTGTCCAGGATCGTCAATGGGGAGGACGCCGTCCCCGGCTCCTGGCCCTGGCAGGTGTCCCTGCAGGTGAGTGAGGGACACGCGGGGGTGGGGGGCCCGCGGGGCTGCCGCTGTCCGGCCGGCGCTGACCTCCGTCCTCCTCCAGGACAAAACCGGCTTCCACTTCTGCGGCGGCTCCCTCATCAGCGAGGACTGGGTGGTGACTGCCGCCCACTGCGGGGTCAGGTGAGGCCCGGGCGGCTCCGGGGGGCCGGGCGGGGGCAGGCGTGTGCTGGTCCCTAACCCCCATCTCCCGCCAGGACCTCCCACGTGGTCGTGGCCGGAGAGTTTGACCAGGGCTCGGATGAGGAGAACATCCAGGTCCTGAAGATCGAAAAGGTAGCCGCCGCGGACGGGCGGGGGCTGTGAGGCCGGGGGGGTCTCGGAGCTCTGGTCCCGGCTCCGCCCGGCTCTGGGTGGGGGTCGGGGGGAGCGGGAGAGAGGAGGTGGCTCCTTGAAAGCGGCAGATGGCGGAGTTACCCCAGGGCCTCGCCTTCGCGGCCTGCCCCGCCCACAGGTTTTCAAGAACCCCAAGTTCAACATGCTCACCGTCCGCAACGACATCACCCTGCTGAAGCTGGCCACGCCCGCCCGCTTCTCCCAGACCGTGTCCGCCGTGTGCCTGCCCAGCGCCGACGATGACTTCCCCGCCGGCACCCTGTGCGCCACCACCGGCTGGGGCAAGACCAAGTACAACGGTGAGGGGGGTGGGCAAGACCAAGTACAACGGTGAGGGGGGGCGGGGCAAGACCAAGTACAACGGTGAGGGGGGCGGGGCAAGACCAAGTACAACGGTGAGGGGGGGGGGCAAGACCAAGTACAACGGTGTGGGGGCGGGGCAAGACCAAGTACAACGGTGAGGGGGGGCGGGGCAAGACCAAGTACAACGGTGGGGGGGCGGGGCAAGACCAAGTACAACGGTGAGGGGGGTGGGCAAGACCAAGTACAACGGTGAGGGGGGTGGGCAAGACCAAGTACAACGGTGGGGGGGGTGGGCAAGACCAAGTACAACGGTGAGGGGGGGCGGGGCAAGACCAAGTACAACGGTGGGGGGGGTGGGGCAAGACCAAGTACAACGGTGAGGGGGGTGGGCAAGACCAAGTACAACGGTGAGGGGGGTGGGCAAGACCAAGTACAACGGTGAGGGGGGTGGGCAAGACCAAGTACAACGGTGGGGGGGGTGGGCAAGACCAAGTACAACGGTGAGGGGGCGGGGCAAGACCAAGTACAACGGTGAGGGGGCGGGGCAAGACCAAGTACAACGGTGGGGGGGCGGGGCAAGACCAAGTACAACGGTGAGGGGGGGCGGGGCAAGACCAAGTACAACGGTGAGGGGGGTGGGCAAGACCAAGTACAACGGTGAGGGGGGCGGGGCAAGACCAAGTACAACGGTGAGGGGGGCGGGGCAAGACCAAGTACAACGGTGAGGGGGGTGGGGCAAGACCAAGTACAACGGTGAGGGGGGGCGGGGCAAGACCAAGTACAACGGTGAGGGGGGCGGGGCAAGACCAAGTACAACGGTGAGGGGGGCGGGGCAAGACCAAGTACAACGGTGAGGGGGGCGGGGCAAGACCAAGTACAACGGTGAGGGGGGGGCGGGGCAAGACCAAGTACAACGGTGAGAGCGGGGCCACCCGCGCCGTGGGGTCGGGCTGCCTGCGAGGGGGTCTCCAGGCGGGACCCATAGGGCTCTTGGTTTTTTTTTGTTCTAAATTCCATTAGTCATAAGTTATTAGTCATAAATCTCCCATTTCTTAACCCTGTTAATTAGCCACCTGCCACACATGGTAAAGGCGTGGCTTAGTAAATGAACGTGAACCGTAAGATGCTGAGAAACACCTGGGCACCAGCAGGCAGGGCCTGCCTAGCTTCTCCCCAGACCCAGGAGCGGGGAGCGGCCCGCTCGCTGCCATCTGGGCTGGGAGTGAGGTCCAGGTCTGGTTCCGGTTCTGAGAGTGGGGCCTGGTCCCCCTCCCCGGCTGCTGGCCCTGCCTGATTCCCCTGCAGCCTCCTCCGCTTCCTCGGGCCACGGCTCCGGCTGGTCCTGGGACAGGACAGAGGCAGCAGGAAGGGGGTGGAGGGGGGTCCCTGCAGGCCCCGCCGCCCCTCACCCCGTGGGGGGTTTGTGTGGAACCAGAGGAGCCGCGCCCCACAGACGCTGGTGGGGCCTGAGGGAGGGGAGCTCTGTGCCCACGGCCATCGGCCATCGTGTTGCTAAGGATGAGGACCTGCGGGGCGAGAAGCGCTGACCTCCCTCCCCCTCCAGCCAACAAGACCCCTGAGAAGCTGCAGCAGGCGGCCCTGCCCCTCCTGTCCAACGCCGAGTGCAAGAAGTTCTGGGGCAACAAGATCACCGACGTGATGGTCTGCGCCGGCGCCAGCGGCGTCTCCTCCTGCATGGTATGGCTGCCTGGGCCTCGGGCCCCCCTGGTCAGGCCGGGATCTGTCTGCTTAACCCCCCTCCTTGCCCTGTGACCACCAACGCCAGGCCAGCACTCACCGGTGCCCCGGGAGGGCTCGCTCTGGGCTTCCCAGGGGCATCTGATACCCCCCCAACCCCGTGAGCTGGACGTCCTCAGCCGTGGTACCGAGGGTGGCCTCCGGGAGTAGGTGGCAGGTTTGACCAGCTCTCAGCATCCCCTGCCGGCCAGGCCCACACTGTCCTTTCTCTGCAGCCCCCCGCCCGGGCTCAGCCAGGTCAGGGCGCACTAGGGCCCCGCAACCTCTCAGGCTTGGACCCAAGCCCTCTCCTCCTCCTGCAGGGCGACTCTGGTGGCCCCCTGGTCTGCCAGAAGGACGGCACCTGGACCCTGGTGGGCATCGTGTCCTGGGGCAGCGGCACCTGCTCCACCTCCACGCCTGCCGTGTACGCCCGCGTCACGGAGCTCATGCCCTGGGTTGAGGAGATCCTGGCCAACAACTGAACCCGCGGCCCCTGCCCTCCCAGCCCTGAGTGTCCCCAATAAAAGCATCTGTACAGGAACCCTGACTCCGCGTGTCTGTGTGGCTGAGGGGTGTGGGGCTGCCGTTTCCCTGTGACCCACCAGGGGGCGGCATCACCACTCGCGTTCCAGGGTGCAGGTATTCCACCCACCCCAGCCCCGCTTCTCAGGAAGCTGTCCTTGTATCTCATCCTCCCTGGGGGCGAATTTGGGTCCTACTTGCTGGAGTCCATGGAGCTTCCCGGAAGGCAGGAGTCCGGGGCAGGCTATGCAGTCCATAGCCCTGAGGGGTGGGCATTGGGACCAAGATACCCCACCCAGGAAGGCCTCTCCCTCCACCACATGACATGCCCCAGGCTCCCTTCTCTGCCTTTAGCCCCCTCCTCACCCAGTGCCCCGGAACAAGCATCTGGTCCTCACCCTTCCTGCTTCAGACCCCAGGTGCCCCCACATGGCACACACACTAGCCAGTGGTTCTCAACCTTCCTAATGCTGCGACCCTTTAATACAGTTCCTCATGTTGTGGTGACCCCCAACCATAAAATTATTTTCATTGCTACTCCATAACTGTAATTTTGCTACTGTTATGAATCGTAATGTAAATATCTGATATGCAGGATGTATTTCCATTGTTACAAATCGAACATAATTAAAGCATCGTGATTAATCACAAAAACAATATGTAATTATATATGTGTTTTCCGATGGTCTTAGGCGACCCCTGTGAAAGGGTCGTTCGACCCCCAAAGGGGTCGCGACCCACAGGTTGAGAACCACTGCACTAGACTCTGGAGCTCAGGCGATGTCAATCCCACGCCAGACAGAGGTTGGCACCATTGCTCCCACTTTGTTCCTCTGCTTGATGAGATTCCGCAGTTACATCTAGAGGCTTGATCAGGTGGGCCTGGCTTCCTTCATCGGGGAGTGCCAGGACTGGCTGTTTCTTTTTTGTGAGGTCGGTGCCTGAGTCTGTCAGTTCTCTGGGGCTTGAGCAGTGGTGGGGCTTAACTCTAACATCGTTTTCTCCTTTACCGTCTGGAAGACCCCCAGAGAGCTGGCTCCCCCCTTTCACTCAGTTATCCAGTTGGACTGTTCATGCAGGGCCTACGCTCACTTCTTTTTCCTTTACAGATTTTTTTTTACATTTTTTCCCTTTATGGATGTTTAAGATAATGAATTTGTTCTCTATCATCCCCAAAAAGTGACCCCATTAATTTTGTTATTTAGGATAATTATGTACTCACGGATTTAAACATATTTGAAGGTTTTGAGCTATTGTAATTTTTTTTATTGAAGCTTCAGTTTTTGAGTTTAACTGAGGTCCTCAGAATTCTCTGTATTTGGCCTGTGAGGGCACATTTCCACAGACTAGGGCCTGCAACATGGAGTGAGGCCGAAGTGCCCAGCGGGTGTCAGTCCCTTGCGCTCAACAGTGGACGAGCTCTAGGTGCCAGAAAGCAACAACTACTCACTGCTGGTCCCACCAAGAAACTGCGCTGGGCTCCGTTCCCCGCTCAGCGGCCCCGCTGTGGGGTGGCCTCCCTGTCCTCCTGGCTCCTCACTGCACAGACCACCTGCACCTCCCACTTATTCGGAGGGCACCGGCACTAGCTGTCCCAGGTGGGCTGGGGCAGGCACCACCGCCCCAATGCGCTGGAGTTGGAGAAGCAGACAGAATTCTGACAGCTCGTTTCCTACTTTATCCTCCCGCAGCTGAGCCCACAGGCATGACCACACAATCCCGGTCCAAATCATTCTCTCGTCTCCCAGGTCTTTCCCCCAGTTGTCTCCCCATTTTGATGTTTCTCTCTAAAGTCCCTTGAAGATTGATCTCGGAAAAAAAAATTTTTGATCTTGTAGGGGCGGCCTCCAGGTTGCTGAAAACCGCAGTCCTGGTAGAAGGCTGCCACCTGGTGGCCAATGTGAAAATCGCATGGTCTGGCCTCTGACTTTCTTCTAACCCAGCGTTGTACAAAAGAAATAATGTGAGTCAAATAAGTTATTTTATTTTTTAAAAATATATTTTATTGATTTCATAGAGGAAGGGAGAGGGAGAGAGAGATAGACACTTCAATGATGAGAGAGAATCATTGAGTGGCTGCCCCTTGCACGCCCCACACCGGGATCGTTTGCAACACGGGCATGTGCCCTGACCAGGAATCGAACTGCGACCTCCTAGTTCATAGGCCGACGCTCAGCCACTGAGCCACACCAGCCTGGCCCAAATAAGTTATTTTATTTTATTTATTTTTATTTTTTAAAATATATTTGTATTGATTTCAGAGAGGAAGGAAGAGGGAGAGAGATAGAAACATCAATGATGAGAGAGAAACATTGATTGGCTGCCTTCTGCACGTCCCCTACCGGGGACCAAACCCACAACCTGGGCATGTGCCCTTGACTGGAATCGAACCCAGGACCCTTCAGTCCTCAGGCCGAGGCTTTATCCACTGAGCCAAACCAGCTAGGGCCCAAATAAGTTATTTTAAATCATCTGGTAGCCTTACTTAAAAAGTCAAAAGAAATAGGTGATTTAATTTTATTGATATATTTTATTGAACTCACTATATCTACATATTATCATTTCAACATGGAATCAAACATTTTAAAATTATTAATGATACATTTTACATTCGTCTTCTCATACTAAGTCTTTGAAATTCAGTGTGTAATTTGCACTTACAACACATCTCAATTAAACTTTACATTCTTGTCAGGAATACTTGATCTTCATGTAAAATTCATAAAAATTATAGTTGAAAAAGTAGTCTAACATACTGGAATTGTTCCAAATATACTTTTTTGAATTCGGATTTATTCTGAAAAGCACAGTTTAGCAAAAAGTTCCACGTTTGGCCGAGAGTCTGTGTCAGTTTACAAACATCCCCCAGGGCGGGGCCCACTCACAGGCCCGATCCAGGCTGCCCCACCTCTCTGTCTGCCCACGAACTTGCTTCCTAATTAACTGAAACACCTGAACTGATTAGGAAGACGTCCACAATCCACATTCGGAGAATGTCACCCGTCACCTACCAGCCACCAACCAGCCACCGACCAGCCACCGACCAGCCACGGACCAGCTGTGATGAGCCCCGAGGAATAACTCCCGGCCCTCAGCTGTCCATGTTCTCTGTAAATATTCTCAGCTGAAGGGAATCATCTTGACCAGGGTCATGCCTCCTTGCTGGACAGCCCTCGTCCCTGATTGGTCCATGGGGCTTTTAAAGGCCCAGTCTCTTACCCCAAACTGTCTCTCCTTCCGTCCCTTCCAAGGCGTTGATTCCGGGAGTGCTCTCCGACAGACTTTCTGAATCCGAATCTTCATCCAGAACCTTCTCCCTGGGGCGCTCGAGCTGTGGCCCTTGGGACCGGGTGGGTCCCAGAAGGCAAGGCGGGTGCTAGGATGGGATTCTGGCGTTGGAGCAGCGGCTGCCGGCTGGCCACCAGGACCCCTTCGCCGCCGGCACAAGGTAACAGTGAAATTGTTCCACGACCGCTGAGGACCTGGGTGGCGCTCTGCTCAGGAGTTGGAGGAAAATGGAGGGGAAACTCTACGGTCGGTGAAATGCTGTGTCTGTTGCTAAGCACAACGGGGCCTTCAGGAAAAGAAAAGGCGGAGGGTGATTTATAGGCAGTTACAAGCTACCAGGAGCCTCCCAGGGCGCACAGCAGGGCTCTCCCTCCTGCCCGCCGCCAGGAGGAAGCTGGGGCCTGGGCCCAGGGTCTAATCACCGAGCAGCCAAGTCCCCCAGGTTAAACCTCTACCCAGGCAGGTCTGCTGTGTCAAGGTTACAGCCCCGCAGGACACGGGCACCCTGGCATCAGCCCCCCTCTGCTCTGGCCACAACCATGTGCGGGGCCTGGGCTGAGGGGAAGGGAGAGAGAATCGCTGCCCAGGGAGCTGCCCACGGGCCAGGCAGCAGCTGGTGGCCGGGGTGGCAGAGCTCGGGGGGGGGGGGGGGGCTGTGCCCTGAGGCTGTTCCATCCGGGGAGGGGCAGACAGACCCTAACGTGGATATGTGGACACGGGAGAGTTTGATCTGGCTGCACTCACCCAGGATGTGGCTTAACACCCTGGCCAGGCCCGCAGGGGAGGGGATAGCTGTTGCCAGGGTCACACAAGCAGCCCTGGGCCACTTTAGACAAAGTGGAGATGCAGAATGGCTGTGTGACAGGCTCAGAGAAGTGGGCGTGGGAGCGGGGATGAGCTGTGGAAGGCAGATGGCCCAGGGCGTGACTCACAGCGGCCTGGTGGAGGCGCCGGTCACCCAGGCAGGGAGCCCTGTGCTGTGAGGGGCCCAGCGTGGCCAGGAGCTGAGGGGCCCCCTCTACACCAGGGCAGGGCAGTCAGCGGGAGGCACCACAGAGCCGAGGTGCAGTGTGCTGGGCACCTGAGCTAACAGGACCCAGGTGGCGGCAGTTGCCATCATGAGTGGCAGCTGGGGTCCCGCCCTGCAGAGCCGGCCGGTGGGGAACGTGCCGGGGACCCTGGGGCAGAGTGGAGGGTGGCTGGCAGCAGGCTGAGCTGCCTCAGGGAGCACCCTGGCGTGGCGGCAGCTCAGACGGGCATCGGGTTGTGTGGTTTTTCTTGCCTCAACCGGTTAGCTGCTCCCCGGTTGACGCTGATTGTGCTCCATCGGACTCACCTGTGTCCTTGACCATCAACTAGACTTCGAGCTTTAGGGCGCAGGAGGGCTGCCCTCTGAGCAGGGTTCTCAGAGTGGGGTGCCCAGCCCAGCAGCAGCACCGGGAACTTGTGAGCAGTGCACGGCCTGGGGTTCTGCTTTTACTGGGGCCAGGGTTTTGCCAGTTCACTCTTTATTGGTGAATGTAAAACATCAGTGTGGGGATTAAAGCGCGGGAAGGAAAAACCAGCGGCCAGTTAGTGTCTGAGCCACCTGAGATCTCTAAAACAAGGGGAACTTCATGGGGAGGTGGGGGGGGGGGGCGGCCTGGCTCTCCCTCTCCATGGGGCACCGTGTCTGCTGGAGGCAGCCGGCTGCAAAGTGGATGCCGCCGCAGCTAACAAACAACCCACCCT